CACACACACACACACACACACACACACACACACACACACACACACACACACACACACACAGAGTCCTCGTTGACCTTACATTTTCGGCCATCTCACTTTCCCTGATTATTCCCACGCGAGTCAGATCTCTACCTGGCATTCTCCCCACTGGCAAGGAGAATCAATCTCCCCGTTGATCCATGCCCTCCCTCCTCAATGGGCAACACTTCCAATCTGCAACTAAGGAAATTTCTCATTCAAAACAGGAAAAAAGAAAAAATCCAGCTGCTTATGTTCACCATTCTCTCAGCTCTTGCACGATATTCTATCCCTACTCAAATTAGCCTGCACTTTTGCTAATTAAACAACACGAAAAATCATCTTTCTCCAGGGCTAAAGAAAAAAAAGAAACTCATGTCCGCTGCAAGTTTTGCCAGAAATCTATCTCTCTCTCTCTCTCTCTCTCTCTCTCTCTCTCTCTCTCTCTCTCTCATGGCCGTGCATGATTAGGGTAGACTGGAGAACAATCCGTCCCTCTTTCCATTTTCGACCTGAGCACGTGCTGTTACCTGGCTGTTAATTAGGCAGACAGTCAATCCCCTCGCGAGAGGGCAATCACTGCTGTTCTGCCAGATATATCTCCTCTGATTTTGTTAGTGGGAAGCTGGACCCGGTCTCCAGCAGGTGATGCTCCCCACCAATAGATTGGAGCCATCTATAAATTGGGGCTTGCTAGTAGAGGATGCTTGCATCACCTCCAATAGCAGGCTGCCACAGATGTTTTGCCTAAAACAAAAAAGAAAACAAAAACAAAAAAAAGACAGCGAACAGCACTAAGTCCTGCTGGCTGTCAACCACGTTGCTGCTGGAGGAGCACCAAGAGCAGTATTGCCAACCACTGAAGAGCAGCACCACCTAGCCAAAGCTGACCTCTCTCTCTCTCTCTCTCTCTCTCTCTCACACACACACACACACACACACACACACACACACACACAGAGCGGGGGGGGAGGTCCTTGGGAGAGCAAGAGAGCCGTGGGGAGAAGGGAGATTACAGACTATGGTTGGTCATCTGCATGGGAGGTCCAGCAGCACACAATCATTGATTGGACACCGGAGGGAGCAGCATTGATGGTGAGGATAAGCAAGTGAGAGCAGTCTAGTCGCAAGGCAAGGTGATCGCATTGGCTGGCAGATGGAGGAAGAGAATGCCACTGAGCTTAATTATCATGGTCATGCCGACCCGTACCCGAGATCGACGCCCGGGAAAATCCGGACACACACACACACACACACACACACAGGTTATGATTAGGGTAGACTGGAGAACAATCCGTCCCTCTTTCCATGGTTCGACCTGAGCACGTGCTGTTACCTGGCTGTTAATTAGTCAGACAGTCAATCTCCTCGCAAGAGGGCAATCACTCCTCTCTCTCTCTCTCTCTCTCTCTCTCTCTCTCTCTCTCTCTCTCTCTCTCTCTCTCTCTCTCTCTCTCTCTCTCTCTCTCTCTCTCT